ACGCAGTAGTGTAGTTGGTTGAGGCACTATGCTGCAAGCCAGAAGGTCGCGGTTTCAATTCACGATGAGGCCACTGGATTTTTCGATTTACCTAATCCTTCCAGCCGCACTGTGGCCCTGGTGTCTTCTCAGCCTCTAACAGAAATGAGCACCAGGAATCCTTCATCCAGCTGAAGCCAATCTTGGATATTTTCTTGCGTGGTTTCAGTCTCTCCAGCTGCCCTCAACACAGTCTGAAAGTCCTCTTGCTCCTAAATCCCACGTGTCCCTTAAAATATGTACTCAGCTGTGTACAGAAATTTCCATTTTCCTTATTTCGATCTGGATTAACTGTAACCGGATTAGCGAGGGTTTACTCTATTTTTATTTACCCGAATTATTATCCTGACCTCTTGGACATAGAGCAGTAGTTGTTACGGCTGTTAGCCAGTCTCGTGACCATACTCGCTAATTCTTTTCACTGCACAGTGGATCGCAATCCGTTAACTTTATTGCTCCATTTCTCTACTCGGTTGTGTCATCCCTCCGCTGGGATATTTCTCTGTTTATGGTTGATAAGCCCTTAGGGGCCCAGCAACATTAATTAGTCGCTTAGAAATAATTTTTGCTAATCTGTGTGTTTAAAAGCAGACATGAAGATCCGTTTATTTATGAACACATTTTACATAATTTTTTATATTTCTGTGACTGTGATATTTAAAAAGACAGCTTTGTGCATCAGACAATTGTGAATACGTTGTCACGGTATGAACGTGTTACTCGTTACGAAAGATAATTCTCCCTGCGATGATCAGTTCAAAGGAAATTCGAAGTTGAGCAGTGGGGGTAACAATATATTTTCTCTAAAAGTTACCTTGTACAGTATGTAGGCCTAATTGGCATTTAATGAGTGAACAGCATGTCTCGATATCATGTAAGTAAGAACAGAAAATGTTTCTGTGAAATCAAACTTTCAGCCGCGGAAGAGCGGACATCTGCCTATAAATATATATAACGATTCCGAGGTTTGTCATTTTTAGAACAGGGTAACAGAGTTGCGCGCCTACTTTCTCTCTCTCTCTCTGTCACATAATAACACGTCCATTAACATTTCTTAAAACGAATAAACCATGAAGCTCTTGACTTCAGTCTTATTGAGTTTATTAATCTCCAGAATTGAAATTGAACCTTAAAACTCAACAGTTCACAAATTGACAAAATATTTTGGCATAATTGCTCAAGGCAAGACAGCCGTTGCTAGGGAAGAGCTTTGGAAACACGCCCTTTGCTAGGCAACAATGGAGTAAACCACCCTGTTCCTGGGCGATATAAATACAAGGACCCCCATGTTGAGGGAGTCTCTAGTCTGAGACAGTAAAATATGATCATGAGCCCCGCAAGGCTCGGAACCGATAATGACTGCGATGGCGAGGACCAGCAGCAATTGTAAAGGACAGACCTACCCTCTCTTTAAAAGGATATTTCATAAGGTCTATAACCGCAAGTTTCCAGTTGGAAGATAAAATTGCTGGTCGTAAGCCTCAGGGGGCTTCTCGCCAAGACGAACTGATTGGCGGTAAACCGTCAGTCGTAAAGTAACTTTGGCGTAGACTTTGACTTTCTTAGTTAGTTGTAAGACAGCCACCGACTATTAAGGACGTGAACACGGAAGCTGAGAGAGCTACGACGTTGGAAGCCGTTACCAGGCGATAACCGTTGAAGATACAATGGGCAGAGAATATTTCGTACTTGCTGTAGTGAACTGCAGAGTGTGTTATTAGCGATAGCGCNTATATTTTAGCGTCCTGTTGCACTGATTTAAGTCCATGATTTATTTTATCCGTCTTCTAGTGCATACATTTATTTATCCCCTCTTTTCACTCTCACTACATGTTTCGGCACCAATGTGCCATCTTCAGGTGCTGATCCAATCCACGACAAACTAATTCATTGCATGCCTTGTCTTTACATACTAAAATAACTAAAATATATATTTATCATATATACTGACAAATGTCAAGTGTTAAAATATTAAAACTGTACAGCATATTTCTTTCCTACGTCGTGTTTCATTACGCGAGTCACGTCTATCATCCTCTGTTGGAGCACTCTCTCTTTCACTATCGTGTATTGTGCTCTGTGTTGCGTCTCGCTCCTATGACTGCGTGTGTTCTGTATGAGTTCAATAAATCCAATTACCAATCCAAACCCCGTCTGTAGTCACTCATATACGTGAAAACATTTTACTTGCTTCTAGTAAGGCTCATACGTTGGAGACCATAATCTGGCACGTCCTGTTGTATTTGAACAGACATGCCCTATTAATTGTAGCACTATCGCGGGGCAATTCCAGCGGGACGGTATGCAAACGCTTGAATTAAAAATAATAACGCGAATCAAACAGAGCCACTGCATTATTACACGGACTGGCCGCGTGGGGGCGATGCTCTGCCGTAACTTGTGCAGATTTCAGATCAACTGAACAGGCGCCCCATCCAGCAGACGGAGTGTCACAGAGCAATGGATACATCCGGAACTGTTGAGCGATCAGAACTGGTTTCACTTGAACTGAACCGCGTCTCACTGGCCCTCTGACACACATTCTCTGGTAGCGAACAATTAGTTACTGCCTACATATCGAAACGTTTCTTGTTGTGTAGCCTCGCTATTGTTTTATGATGTGGTAGAAGCGTACGTTTATCAAATCTGTATGTTCGTTACTCAGAATTTACCGAGTATGCTGGCTCAGTCGGTAAAGCTTTTGTCCTGTATTCTCGAATTGTCCTGTTCAAATCTCAGCTCACACACTGGCTACCTTGACTATATCTTTCCGCATTTTTCCTCAGTCCTCTAGAGGAATTGCGGAATATCTTAAATGAGGTCCAGACCGTCTCCTTTCACATCCCTTCTGACCAGCTATTCATGAATAATCTTGACGTCGAACGCTCTGTAATTTGAGCTATTGGCAGAGACGTTCAACGAAGTATGAAAGAATCAGATGGGTTCTTGTGAAATTTCCAGACTGCACGGCGACACAACTAAGAACAGATGCTCTCAGTCATATCCGAGTGCGGAAATTTTGATTTCATTTTAATGCGATCAGCAGAATTAGACCGATTTCAATTTGTAGCGTCTGCTGTAATGCTGACTGCTTGCTGAGCAGTGGGGTGAGTTGGGGGGAAACGGGAGGGTGCAGTTATGTGGGTTTAATGACGAGGAATGCGAGGGTAGAAGGGACAGTTATGTTCGATTTTTGCGATTTCATCCTCTGCGAGCATATTTTTGGAACACAGGCAACAACATAAATCCTTCTCGCAGCAAAACCCTCAAATGTCATCCCATAGGAATCGGAACTGGTGGGTTTTTCCATCATATCCGAGAAAGAACTTCTTAAACACCCTGTATATGAACGTTTTGTGACTTTATTACAAGCTTGATGGAGATGTGGTTGATAATATTTGTGGCTTAAGTGGTCCTTATTTATATAGCACCGCCTGTTTACGGTGAAATGTGTGGTGTGCAAAGTATTTCGGTTTCCCCTACCACTTCTCAACTCATAAACTGCTCCATATTCATCAAAGTGAATCCTCTCGTCCTGCACTATATAATCTCGCGAGTGATAGCATCGTTAAATAACCAACATAAGAAATACATTGCTTGTATGGAAATAGCCGTTGACAGGAACAAAAGTTTCTCCATATACAGTAAACCCTCGGTATCCCGGATTAAATGAGGGAAGGAACAGGTCATCCGGATTAATGAAGCAAAGTATGGCTCCAGAAGTAAGGAAAGGAAAATAGAAAACAAATGGAGAACTTACTAGTATAAATATTGCTGATGAAAATAAATAAAATATACCACTGACGAATTTTATTTAAAAACTATAAAAAGACAGGAAGATGAAATCCAGGGTTTCGAACCGATCACTAACCAGTGGGCGTTACCACCACCTCCCTGTAACAGAGAATTAGATTTAAATTGATCTTAAAGACATGGGGTGTAAATGTGCGGATTGGAGTCGGCTGGGTCTGGATAGAGACCTATGTAAGTGCGCACACGACACACACACTTAATTTCAATAGTTCTCTCTACAGTTTTAATGTTTCTGCGAGCAGCATGTGACTCTCGGGCCGGCTTTTGCTAATCCCTAGTATAGAACGTGACACAATCTGTCCTGATGTGTTTCGTGACATTTCTCGTTCTGTCCAACAAACTTCGAGATATTACATAAATATTGACCCCCTGCCATTTCTCTCTCTGCCCTTCCGAATTCATCTTCCAAAATCATCTTGTCGTGCCCCATCCGATGCTATACAGCCGTAGCAGTTGATAAAGCTCAGTGGTTGCTATATGTACCACCTGCTCTAACATTAAAACTGCGCATTCTGCCCACAGAGTGTATTTGTGTGTTCCTTATGGTTCTCGAAATAAACAGCGACTGTTTCCTTACATAGCATTAACCGGTTGGGCCTTGTAGCGGAGACGTATTGTGTTTCCCGTGAGGTACGGACCGAATTATCATATGTTGTTTTAGACTAAGTTCATTCTGTAGGGTTGTTCTATTTCTGTCCGGGAGATCATTAATCATTCACTCAGGAAATTGTATCTGCTTTTTCAGCACATTTTTGTCGTGATAGCAATGAAAATAGCGCCTGTAAACTTCGCCATGTGTGTCCGTGTGTACGAATGCAACAACTTGAGAGCCGTTTAATGGATTTGCATGGAAGTTGGTATCTAGAAGCGTGGCGGAAATTTCTAATTCTACTTAAATTCGGAGAACGGTAAGTGGCGTTTGGAGGCCCACGCGCCCTTCTCTGCGCATCTCTAGCTTGGTACCGAGCAGGTTCGCACAGGGGTGTTCGAGAGATGTTCCGTTCGTCCCCTAGTCTGATTCACACAGTCCCTACTCACAAATTCCTGGATAGTACCTCTAATTATCATGTGATCGTCTCCCCACTCGCCGCATAGTGACAGCGTTGTTAAGGGAACCACAAATAAATGCACTTGTTTCCTTGTTGCAGGATGGTTCTAAGCGGCCCCCGCTCGCGCGCAGGCGCTCTCTTGATCATCACTTTGTCGCTTATCGCGGTGGTGCTCTGTGCGCCCGAGGAATCGCCCAAACGCGCCCCGAGCGGCTTCCTGGGCGTACGCGGCAAGAAGGATTCAGCGTTCAGCAATGAGGAGGCGTACGGTGGCAAGCGAGCCCCCGCAATGGGGTTCCAAGGTGTCAGGGGCAAGAAGGACAATGAGGACCTTGGGTACGACAAACGGGGGCCGTCCATGGGGTTCCATGGCATGAGAGGCAAGAAGGATCCCGACTCTCAGCAACAGTTGTTGCAGGACTTCCTGGACAAGAGGGCTCCTATGGGTTTTATGGGAATGCGTGGGAAGAAGGACCCTACAGACTTCGACTATTTCGACAAAAGGGCTCCACCGCTGGGGTTCCAAGGCATGAGGGGCAAGAAGGCGCAATGGGAAGAAGATCCAGACGTTTTGATGGGGCCTCCGAGCGTCGGGTTCCATGGCATCGGGGGGAAGAAGGAGAGGGAGGGGCTGGGCCTCATGCAGTTGCTAGGGAAGGACGTGGATCTGGTAGGAGACGACTATCCACAAGTGCTTTCCGACGAGGATATCTGGGGGGACGAGGAAGAGGTGTTGGGCAATTCTGAAGATCTCAACAAAAGGGTCCCCGCTTCAGGGTTTTTCGGCATGAGGGGGAAGAAAGTGCCGAACGCAGGATTTTTCGGCATGAGAGGCAAGAAAGGTCCGTCAGTGGGATTCTTCGCCATGCGGGGCAAGAAAGTACCCTCAACAGGTTTCATGGGAATGAGGGGCAAAAAGGAGTCCGAGGGATCTGTGGAGCGGACTGAGGACCTGGACACGTTGTTGCAATACTTGGGGGCCGCGTACCAGCAGGGGCGCGACAAGAGGAATGGAGAGAGAACGCCTGGATCCAAGAAGGCGCCAAGCGGGTTCCTTGGAACACGTGGAAAGAAGGCCTGGCCTACACAGCAAGGTGGTGATTGTTGTGCACGGTGCATGTATTTATTTGTTTGCTAGTGCTTGTTGTTTGCTTAAGGATGCTGCCAAACCGATAATGCTCTAGGCCTGTATTTTGGAGGTGTTCATGTCAAATCTGGGCTGTGACAGTGACTGCCTTGAGGTATGTCATGATATTCCTCAGTTCCGCCAGTAAAATGCCGCAGGAGCACCTCGATCAGGTTCCTTCCGCTTCTTTTCAAATTCATCTACCGACCAGTCTACCATTCGACGCAGTGTCGTCCGAATACTGATAGCGTCGCGACGTGAACTGAAGGAGACGCTCTCAGGCAGCTCAGACAAGCGTCGAATGATGGATTGGAAAGGGGATGGAAGGAGTAAGCTAGGTAATAATTCCCAGTTTGTCTGAACACGCGGAAGAAAACTTCATATGACCTCAGGATAGTCTGTGCCCTGCCGGGTTTCAAACCAGGCACTTCCCAAATACAAGAGCAAATTTTGCGTTAGAGCTGTTATGTATAGACACACATACACACTGACAGAGAGTTTCTTGGCCTGATATTATCAGTGTGAACTCAACTTCAACCAAAATAAAGTTGTTTCGGTCGTAAAAAGAAAGATAGCGGTTGCATGGAGCTTAAATGCCAGACGTGGGAAATGAGGGATTGGAAATCAGAAGCAGATTGTCGCTATTACAGTGATGGTATGGCCTGCCATCTAACAACCGACATCTAAACTAAAAGGCCCTTGCGAGGGAGGCATTTTATTGCCGTGCGCCATAAAATGTGATGCTCGCGAAATTGTTGTTGGATCAGAGCGGAAATATCTTCCAGTCGGGTGTCATTACCCAGTACTCTAACACTGAGGCTACGGAACATGAAGAGTAGGATAACTTTAACCATCTGAAGCACACCTGTAACTGCTCGTCTATGCACCGTCTGCTTTACCGTTAAGAAGCCCATACAGTGTATTTATTGTGTCTTTTGTGTGATTCTCACAATAAACAGCGATTATTTCACGAAACGGCATTAGCCGGCTGGTCCCTTTTATGAATACGGAGTGTTTCCTGTGAGGTACGGACTGCACTGCTATATGTCATGGGCTTGGCGCCAAGACGAAATGATTTTAGGTAAACCGCCAGTGGCAAAGTAATTCTGACTCTGGCTCTGACTCTGACTTCATAGAAGGGTTGCTTGCACGGCTGACAGAGTTGTCATACAGTAAAATATGATCATGAGTCCCGCAGGTCTCCGAACCATGAATGACTTTGCTGGCGAGGGTCAGCAGTAATTTACCTGTATGCAAGTCTTGAAAGTGTTAAAGAAGGTACTTCTGGACAGATGAGTAATGTTGCAAGAAAGGGGACGAGAGGCAGGAGAGACTGAAACAATGAAGTATTGTCTCTTGTATTAGTGACTAATAACGCGAGTTCTGGATTGGATGAACGGGTTTATTTACTGTTGATACACACCACCAGTAATTACACGTAATTATAGCGCTATCGCTATATACACACTTTCCAGTCCACCGTTCCGCACGCACTAGGATTCTCGGTTTCCGCTAGTCGTCTCCTAGCAACGAGTCTCAACACAGAAATTAGCATTTCAAATCACTATGAAGTCTTCTTGCTATTTCATCTTCAGTCACTCTGGAACCTCGGAACCTCACTCCTCCAGCCTGCGATTGACTCGTAACTCGTAATTGCTCTGAACGAAATTTGTCACTTACGTAGCCGCGGAACGAACATGGACCTATTAGTGAATATNTTGCTATTTCATCTTCAGTCACTCTGGAACCTCGGAACCTCACTCCAGCCTGCGATTGACTCGTAACTCGTAATTGCCCTGAACGAATTGTCACTTGCGTAGCCGCGGAACGAACATGGACCTATTAGTAAACATATCACGTGATCACTATCCAGCCATTCTATTGGCGCGTCAGTCTGATCTACAGAAAACACAGCTTCCTTTATAGTTGCATGTTGGACCGTGTTTACAGAGCTGTTGCCAGTCAACGCGTTGCTCAAACCCGTTACAATATTTACACCTTTAAGTTGTTGCGCTAAGCCGCTTGGCTTAGTGATAACGCTCTGGACTCGTATTTGAGAGATTCTTGGTTTGAATCTTGGCCGAGATGCCGGCAATCCTCGCAGAAGTTCTTTAGTGGTTTCTCTCAGACCTTCCAGGCAAATGATAGGATAGAACCGTGACAGGAGTAGTACCGCGTCCTTCCAAATCCTTTCTAACTAATCATTCAACCGTAATCCTACCATTCAGTGCTATTATATCCTAGATATTGACCGCACTATAAAATAACCTCCCCCCCCTTAAAAGAAGGAGGGAGAGGTGTGTTAGCGTAGTTCCCATATATTTCATGATAATAAATTGAGAAACAATTGCTGAGAGGGCTGAAGAAATTCACGGAACTCAAGGTTCAACCCAGAAGTCTTCAGACGATTATTGTATTATTGGAGGTTACGTCGTGTTGCCTGGTAGATCGGTGCCAAGCACTGCAAGGGGTGAAACTGGGGCCATGATTGAAGCAGCAGAAGTAAAGAGAAACAGACAGTACCTCCTTCAAGGACAGGATAGGGAAAGCCGAAGAATGTCACCAGAAAGTTAGAGTAGATTCAGAGACGAATGAGTCTCAGTATCGTAATGGACGTGTGTTTGTTTCAGTTGTTGTGTCATCGCAAGAAACTGAACCTGAGGCGCATACATCCCAACTCTCAGACAGCGAGTGAACTGCCACGCCCCCCCCCACACTCTTCCGCTGGCCGCAGACTGACGTCATGTGCACAGTCATGTTGGTGCTGCAGTTGTCTGTTATCACACTAAACCACCGCCACGTTAACTTAAAATTGTCTACGAAAATCTCAAATGTAAAACTTTGTTCCTTCTTTAGATGTGTTAAGGACTGAAATGTGATAAGTGATATCAGCAGATGTCACATCGATTGAACCCATAGCTCACGCTACAATTCTACATCTGTTATTGTTTATAATACATATAATTTGTCACCCAATTGCTATATATTTTGAACAGGAACCCGATTATGGACAGATATAAGGCGGCAGGTTTTATTCCCGAACATCTCCCATGGAAATCATACCAAATGGCAGAGACTTTACTCTGGAGTTTAGGTAACTCCTTTCTTTTGTTTTCCGTTTAACTTCCCAATGAATTACTTTAGTAATTTTAAATAAAAATATAAATTTAAAGAGTACACGTTTCTGGGAAATGATGCAGTTTAATTTCCAAGTTTATTTTCAGTCCAGACGAATCCAGACCTCAATCTTCAGGATCAGAGAGTAAGCCAAGCAAGCAGTGAGCAACTGTACTTTGTTGGCTTATTTTTTGACCCTGAAGATGGATGCAGTATGCTCATCTGAAACGCTAGGAAACTTGTACTGTACTACACACTGTCTCACTCCGAAATATAAACTATTCATGTTGATCGCTATGAGAACCCCAGATCTCTCAAAATGCATTTGTCTATGCTCTGTGAAAATTACAAGCAGCATTACTAATTGAATGGAAAAATGAAATTAATTTTCTTCAGTGCTTCATATAATCATGTGTTGTTCTGAAATGTAACAAAGTCAGTTTTTAATAATTTTCATACCAAATTTTCTGAAATTAGCTTTACTGTTGAATTTTAAGTGACAGAAATGTACCTCAGAATGAAGATATTTATTGTTACATTAAAGTAAATTAAGGTAAATTTCTTACATTCGAGACTGACAAGAACTTTCAAGTGTTTTGATGTTACAAAGTACTGAAGCCTGGGGCATGCGGAAATATTTTAGTAAATCCTCTGGAAATTTAAGAATTGAATTATGTAACTGTTGCTAAATGAAAGTAATAGTACGTTGATTAATGTTATTGTGTGAAACAATTTAAGCCACCTTTGTGAGGACTTTGACCCTGACAGAATTTTTAGACTTTTCTTAGGGCCAATAGGTTTATATTTATTTTGTAATCATTACTGCAAGTGAGGCATATACATAAGACTTACAGCAATATACACGTAGTATTCATTCCCTTCAAGCCTCAGGAATTACCTTTATTATTTATTTATTATAA